AATAGAGACATACTACCAGGAGGGAACTACTGTGGTGAGAGCTGGCTGCCAGCTAGAACTGTCGATGACAATTAACGTCGCTGTACGCGTCCCGAGTTAGGTTCAGGAGGTAACAGTAACGAACCTTGACCTTGAGAAAAACACCATCCAACAAAAGAGGTACTAACGTGTGGAAATGTGATTCAATGATATATGGCTTGATTTTCTGAGAAACGGCCACAAGTAAATAACAGAACAACCTTCAGGAAGAAAACAACCGATCGGAAGACGCTGTTTCTCTGCTGACAATAATGAAGATAAAAATCTGTAAACAACTTTTGATTTTTTTCAATAAGTAATCTCTTTCCTGGCCCTTATCTTCTGTCATTACACTTCAATATCCTGTGAAGTGATTACGGCAGAGCTGTTCACTGTAAAAAGGTAACGACGGTTACAGTCTAACTTTTTCCCACCGAGTTTGTCATTTTTGAAATTCACAGTTGGTTGATGTTGCTACCATTCCATTAATTGACAGCCTCAATAGGTTAGGCTAATGTGCCAAAACGAGGGGTTTCGTTGAATTTACTACGTAAACACTTTTCATTAAGAGCTATGCGAGTATTTTAAACGTCTTACTTTTTAGTTAACTCACCTTGTTGTTTTGTGTTGACCCCGACTGACCTGGAGGTTAGTGTGGCGAGAAAGAACTAGCACGTTTTGGCAATGCGAGGCCCCATGTAACAAAATGTGCGTTCCTTTCAAAATAGCATACTTTACCTCTTCTGTGTTTAGCAAATATGCAGAGATTTTTAGGATGGAATCTATAATGAGGCTCGCCAAATGTTTATAGCCGCTTTGAGGATAACACCAAGTGATACCTAAGGAACCAAAATCTTGATGCAATTTTACTTTAAAGATATTTGACATTTTCTTGTGCGTCTATGACTCTTATTGATCCCTATGGAGTAAAATGAAAAACCGAAAATGCCTATCATAAAGAAGTCGGTAACAGTAAAGAATAGACACCAATATCAAATGACCTTGAATCCACCAATTATAATCTTCCAGTTGAAAAGTGACGTTTACGTTTTAAAAAAGTATATTAATAATACATATATGTGGTGAAACTGGATTATACAGTGTATGTATCTCTGAGATGCTGTAAAAACTGGTCTCAGTTTATCATAGTTGTGTCTGTAGACATATTAAACCAATGTCGATACAAAAATTCATCCAAGCAGTTGTATATCATCATATAGGGAGCCATTTACTATGATAAAACGTTTTTAGATGGACCCAGAATTTTCCAACAGAATATGTGTGAGTTCCACTTAAAGGATTTACTAATTCAGAAGTATGATTGACTTTATGATGAACATAGTTAATAGTGATAGTTGCGAATAACCTTTCCATTCGAGTGTGTGAATGGCTATTCCTAGGAGGACTAGTCGTTGCATTATTGGTACTAAAACATCTGAGTGAAACTTGCAACGAAGATTATGAACAACATCCATGTGTAACGTCGAGCAATCTAATTGGTTGATTCAATACAGCGGTGCAGCACGGACGACGATAGCCAGTGTCATCCAAGTGCTCCGATTGAACCAGAAGAAAAAACGCCAAGGGCCGGTTCCCGGGGAATCGGGAACAATCACAGCTGAACTCCAAAATCATAATACTGACGGAAACCTGACTAACCCCTACGGTGGCAGACAGCGAAGTCAGTATAAATGATATGGTCCTAGTCAGGCGAGATAGGGATCTGAAAGAAGGAGGTGGAGTCGCCATATACGTCGACAAACAGCTCAGATGTGTCCATGCAATGGGCTCTCCCCTCAATGAGCTCCCTGACTCCATATGGTGCCATTTCACCGTTGGGTACTGTAAACATCTAGTGGGCAGCATTTATAGATCACCTTCATTTGGTGTGTCCTACACAGGTAGGAAAAATGTATTTTATTAAATTACTATTATTAAATACGTTTACTAATCGTATATGTAATTTATCATATTGATGATGCCTGTAAACTGGCGTCCCTCATGTAAAAAATGAGAATATACTATTATTTATTTATTTATGTAGAGCAGACCACAACCAGGTACTGCTGGATACAATTTCAGCGACAAAAGACGTGGGTTATGATCAAATTGTCATAGCTGGTGACTTCAATGCCCATCTCTTAACTTGATGACGAGATATGCCCATGATAGATTTGATCGAAATCTGCTGCATACCATCAGGGAGGCCAGATTCACTGAAAATGTCAGAATGGATACTAGATGGGGCCCAGATGGGAAGTCTTCTAGACTGGATTATGTGCTCACTATTGACCAGCTACTAGTGGAAGACGTTCAGATCACGACTCCCATAGGTGGTAGTGACCACGCTGTCACAACATTCGACATAGTCCTCCGCGAGCGTTTACAGCGGGACAATACACAGCCCTATCTGTGTTATAACAAAGCCAATTACACCGAAATGCGAAGACTTTTGTCTGAAGCAAATTGGCCAAAAAATTGGACAGAGCTAACAGTAGAAGAACACTGGGGAGTGGTAAAGGAGATCATTCACCAGACGGTCTCAGACACTGTTCCTTTAGTCACACCAAAAGCTAGAAAGCAACGCTCATGGCGAAAAAGGGGGACACAACGCCTTCTACAGGCGAAGCGAAAAGCCTGGTTTGCATGGCGAGTATCGAAGAGTCAACCCGAACATGAAGTGTACCTCGAACTCAGGAATCGATGTAACATACGAGTCCGGAGTGATAGAAGGACATTTCAGAGAAACCTCGCCAATAAGCTTCTCGTGAACCCCAAAAGCCTATACAGGTTTATGTCTGAAAGAAAACCGACCAACCAGGGAGCTTGCAATCTAGTGGGTTCTGATGGAAAATCTCTTACTAGTCATGAAATGGCAGAGACATTCAGTCTAGCCTTTCACAGGCAACTGAACAGTAACGAGGATTTTACCCCCACAAAACATCAAGAGTACAATGCAAAACCAACGTGCGAAAACCTGCTGGGTACATTTCAAATTACCCCGGCTACGGTACTCGTAAAATTGGGAAAGTTGGCCTCGGGAAAGTCAGCAGGTTGCGATGACATAAGACCATCCGTCCTGAAGCAGTGTTCAGAAAGTCTCTGCCAACCCCTAAGTGATCTGTTTCAACACTCCTTTGATGTAGGGAAACTTCCGTGTGAATGGAAACGAGCCATCCTATCCCCTATCTTCAAGGGTGGTGACCGGCAGAACGCGACCAGTTACAGACCAGTTGCGCTACTCCCAGTGATATCGAAGATATTGGAAAGTCTCATTGACGACCACATGAGAAAATACTTCGACGGGACTAACCTACTCCATGAAGCACAGCACGGTTTCAGGAGGGGAAGATCCTGTGTGACGAATCTTCTACTAGCTTGGAACGATTGGACACTATCCTGGGATGTAAAGGTACCAGTCCATGTGATCTTTCTCGACTTTGCGAAAGCATCCGGCACAGTTCACCATAGTCTGCTCCTTCACAAAATAAGCAAGGCGGGTGTTTCTGGAGCACTTCTCACATGGCTGAAAGATTACTTAGACGAGAGAGAATTCTGCACCAAAGTCAACCGCATCCGATCATCCTGGCACACGTCGGCATCAGAAGTTCCTCAGGGTTCCATCTTATGGCCGTTGATGTTTTTGATTATTATCAACGATCTGCCCTGTCAACTGAACTGCTCTGCGCTTCTTTACGCTGACGACGTAAAGAATTGGAGAGCAATAAACTCACCGGAAGACTCAGACAGGTTGCAGGCTGACCTGCAAACTCTGGGAGACTGGGCTCTGGCTAACGGAATGCCTTTCAACCTAAAGAAGTGCAAAGTAGTGCAACTTCATTCCGGTAGGTCACAGAGTGTAAATTGCACCCTTGGTGGCCAGAACTTGGGTTGTGTACCACCAGAACGCGACCTAGGCCTTATTTTAACAGAAAAGCTAGACACCAGTGTAAATTACACGAGGGACGTCGCCAAAGTTTACGCAACTTTACACTTTATGCATAGACAGCTGGGAGCTCTTACTCCCGAACTATTCTTAAGGTTGTATACGACATACGTGAGGCCACTCCTTGAGGTGCATAATATCATTGCTCCTCCGCTACTCAAAAAGGATGCTAACATTCTAGAAAGTGCCCAGAGACGAGCAACAAAATGGGTGATCGGCCTTCGCAACAAGTCATATGAGGAAAGACTGAAGAAATTAGGTCTTTTCACACTTGGTTACCGTAGTCACAGGGGAGACCTCATCACCGTCTATAAGATCTTAAATGACCGGGCCCATCCTAATAAAAGCATCCTGCGATTAAGTGATTATAGGCTTCCACGAGGTAACCCGCTAGGGATAGCACACCAGAGACCAAAGACTCGAGTGCGTTCACATTTCTTCTCGCTTCGAGTTTGCCGTCTTCTGGAACGCTTTACCGGCGGCCGTGACTACAGCACCATCTGTGGAGACTTTCTAAGCGGAAGCTGGACAATTATGCAGAAATGCAAGGTTTGTGTCTCAATGGCTTATCCTCTTAAAATTTGAAACCACATTGTCAATGGATAAGCATACAAGCTAAATCCCACGACCCATTCTGTCTTCTCTCACTGTACCGACTACTCTATCTTTTCTTTGGTCACCTTTATTATTTCACTTATCTCAACCTATATTATCTACACTACAACCTATTATTATTACTATTCTACTTTTATGACTACACCGAATGACCAACGGGTGTTAGGTCAAACTCCATTCACGGCAGCAGCTGAGTCCTAACATACTGCACACTACAAACCACAATCTTGACCAATCCTCGCACCACTCCTCTTGGAGTCTACCAGAGCTAAAGCAGTCGAGTGGCGGGATTTACTACGCATAAGTTCACCGAAGATCTGGAACCTCTACCTTACAATCAAGAAGCGAGCTCAAAGAAATCACTGGTTTATACTAGCTTGTAATCATTATATTGGATATTGGAAGGCCATTTGACTCTGATGTTTATTCTTTACTGTTGTCAAGATGTTAAATACAAAGTGAAAGATTTTAAATTTCAGCTGAAATTCGTAGCATAAATCAGACTTTTGTTGCGGCTATCTAATTAGGTTTCTCAAGGTGATGGCGCAAATATTCAAGGTTGAAAGATGGCCTTCCGCGTCTCTTGTATATTTCCAGTGAAGGTGGTTATATATTGCAATGCAACTTAATCGTCTTTTAGTTATTGCGCGTATCAAACAAAAGTCTACTTCGTTGCTCAGGACGCCAGTCTTCACATCTGTTTGTTGTAAGTTGTTGTACGCGCTATAAGACATACCAATATACAGCACCGAGAAACCCCTGAAAATAACTCCCAGACTCCTTTCGAATTCACAGATGAAAACAAAAAAAGGTTGGATGTAATCATAGGAAACTACCCACCCGCACATAAGGCTGCTGCAATAATTCCTGCCTTAGATTTAGCTCAGCGACAACATGGTTAATTTTATGTACTCGTAAGTCACTATTATTTAGGTTGGTTGCCGATATCTGCAATGAACAAAGTTGCTGAAATTCTTAACGTCCCAGCAATGAGGGTATATGAAGTGGCTACCTTCTATACTATGTTTAACAGGTAAGTGGGGAATAAATTATTCTTTGATTCCAAATATATTTCCATGAAATTATATTTCAACCGACCAAGATGTATGTATGGTAATAGATTTAATCATTTCTGCATTTTTTTTCACTCTAAAAATACAGTATTGACTGAAGACTTTAAGTACAGCACAAATTTCGTTGTTAAAATTTTCCTTGAATTTCCTACATAATATACGAACTACCAAAATATATATTGTAGTGCATTTTCAAAGCACTTTAAAAAGTACCTTTTTTCAGTGAATTGAAGTTTGTGCTCAATGTAAACATATATATATATGTGGAGAGAGAGAATCCCAAGTCTGATAACTGCTCATATCTTTTGAGAAAACCCCGTCTTGTGAAAGTTCAGATGATAGGGATAGAAGGCTCTTTTACCTGTGCGAATCCTTGCAAAATATATCTCTGCAGAGACCTAACTTCTCTTTGAAAGCGTCCACCGATGGAGCTGATACTACTGAGTCAGGTAAGCAGTTCTAGTCGTTGACCACTCTGTGAGAGGATCTAAATTCAGCACGTATTTTAATCGTCTTCAGTTCGAGCACCTTTATGTGATGACCCTGCAAATGTATCCTAGAAGGGGAGAAAAGGTTAGAAAGGTCAGTTCCTAAATCCCCCTTAAGTATACGGTATGTTAGAATTAAGTCGCCTCTCTTCCTTCGGTATGATAACGGGAAAAGATTTAAATGCTCCATCCTCTTATAATAAGGAAGGTGTGAGATACCACTAACTAATTTCGTTCCTACCCTCTGTACTCTTTCCAGGATATGTGCCTCCTTTTTGAAGCATGAACTCGCCGCTTGCACGCAGTATTCTAAATGAGGCCTGACATGTTGCGTATAGCATTTGGAACTTACCCTCGTCTAGTTGTTTGAAAGCCCTTCGAAGTGCCCATAGCATCCGAAAAGTCTTAGCTGTGGCTGCGTTGCAATTTGCAGTTGTTTTCAAATCATTACGGACAATGATTCTTAGGTCCCTCTGTCCGTTAATATCAGGTAGTTCTGTGTCCTCTAGGGAGTACGACGTAGAAGACTTTTGACCTAAGTGCATTACCGCGCTTTTCCTAGGATTAATTTCCAAACTCCACAGGTTCGACCACTCAGCTAATTTATCTAGATCAGTTTGTAGGGCCGACCTATCCTGGTTATTATTGACAGTTTTCCAGATCTTAATGTCGTCCGCAAATAATAATGAAGATGAAGTAAGAATTCCCTATAGTTCATAGGAATAGCAAGGGGCCTAATACAGTTCCCTGAGGCACTCCACTGGATACTGCTTTCCACCCTGATAGTACACCGTTAACTCTAACCGTCTGCCTTCTATCCATTAGGTAATCCCTAAACCACTCACATAGGCATTGGTCTAGTCCGAAACCTTTAACTTTACTAAGGAGACCTAAGTGGGATACTTTGTCGAATGCCTTGCTAAGATCAATAAAAGCCACGTCCAACAGAAGGTTTTATCTCTGGCCTCAACCCAATCTTCCCTAGCTAACATTAAGTTTGTCAAGCAGGATCGTCCTGGTCGGAATCCATGCTGTTCAACTGCCAGTAAGCCATGTGTTTCAACATAAGCTAATAGCTGATCCCTTATAATAGTTTCCATTACCTTTGCTATAACGCATGTCAGACTTACCGGCCTGTAGTTAGATACCAATTGCCTGTCCCCCTCTTTGAAGATAGGGCTTATAATGGCATCCTTCCAGTCCCTGGTTAGCTTAGCCTGGGTCAGCGACATTTGGAAAATCTCCGCAAGCGGAATATATATTATATCCGCCAAGGAAATTAACAGTTTAGGGTGAAGTCCATCGGGCCCAGGTGATTTACCTGGCTTCAGTTTAGACAGTATTTAGAGGACCTTTGTGTGCTCTACCACAATTAAGGGCATCTGATTGGCGATGGCAGTGACCCTGGGTGGTACGATCAGACGAGAATACGTCACAAAAGTATTCAGAGAGGTTTTCAGCCTTTCCTTCATCTGACTTAGCCGCTTCTCCACAAATGCTAATGAGTGACGGTATACCACTGCTAGTTTTAGTCCTACGTTTAATATACGAGTACAGCCTTTTTGGGTAATGAACACAATTCAGTACTAGCCGTCTCTCGTACTCTATACGATTCTTGTTAATCACATACTTAGAGAGATTTCGAATTTTGCAGTAGTCTTTCTGGAAATTTTCCCTTCCTGTCATAATAAATTGGTCCCATAAGTTCTTCCTTCGTCTTAATAGCCTCCTTATTTCACTAGTAATCCAAGGTGGCTTATGCGATAGCTTTCGCGGAATGTACCAAGGCATTCCTAAATCCCACCCAAGCTTCTTCGACAGTCCGACTTGTATCAACTGACCAGTCAGCTGCAGTTGCTGCGTTCCGGATTCCCGATATATCCGCTTTCCAAATGCTTGGACGAGCAGATTTTGAGAGAATGAATCTTAAATGTAAAAGTAATGACTACGTGGTCACTGCTGCCAAGCGGTGGAAGGGACCTAATGTTACCAGTGTCCTCCTTCTGGTGTGTTAATACCAAGTCTAGAGCAGACGGATTATATTCAGGGTGATACCGTGTTGGTGTATGCATATGTTGCACGAGTGCACATTCAAGCACTGTTAGTGTGAGCTCCCTATTGAAACAGGTATACAAACTAGTGAAGTTTAATTCCCCCCAATTAATATGTGGAGCGTTAAAGTCGCCAACAACCAGACACCTATTTCTACTACTCCACGCCTTCAAGTGATTTAGAACAAAGTCATCAGGTTGGCTAGCAGGACTTCTGTGAATAACTCCGATCGCTAAAGTGCCTTTGTTCAAGTTAATGACGCAACTTGGGGCTTCACTGGTGCAGCTGTCATGAGCTTTTGACAACGTTGATCTAATTCCTATGTCATCCCGGATGTATAGAGCAACCCCCCACCTTTCCGACTACATACTCTGTCTGCTCGAATGCAGATGTACCCAGGTATGAATAGAGTTAAGTCTACACCCACTAACAACCATGCCTCAGTGATAGCAATCACATCAGGTTGTAGCCTTTCAGATAATTCTTCTAATTCGGCGAGCTTATTCCTAAGACTACATGCGTTCGTATAGCACACCGAGACACCTACGTGTTCATCCGGCTTATGAAGAGAGGTCTCGGCAGCATCCGTTTCCGAGACCTCACCACCCGAAAATACTATAGCTTGAGGTCTTTTTCGCCCTTCTCTGGCCTGGCCTTTAGTTCAGCTACGGCTTCTCTTCTCTTGATTCCATCTTCTAAAGGCCAATCAGGCCCTATTTTTAAACTTTCATCATTGATTTTGAATGCGTTGTTGAGGATGGTGCTCCTCTCTGTTTCGTTCCCTAAAACTATCTTAAGTAGTCGTAGAGAAGTTTCCGTAGCATTAGGGTTTCGTTTTGCGATCCTGATGACCTTTCTTGTGTGGACTCTAATTGTTTTTTCAGGAAGTATTTCCCGGATAATGGAGCATGTCGGCCAGCTGGACCTGTGTTTTTAGATTCCTCCAAGTTCCAGATGATGACACTGTAACTAGAGTCCGTGGGTTTCGGAGTTTGTCTGGTATTAACAGTCACTGAGACCTTGTTAGTAAACCCGGTTATTGTTTCTTTCCTACGTTTATTTCGCTTCTTACTTGTCGGCACCAACCAAATGGAGTCGGTTTCTTCCACATTGTTTTCGCCGCAACTAGAAGCCATTCGTACACTAGACACGCTGCGCTTTGGCGTGGCTTTATTCATCACGATTGGCGTCTTGGAAGTCTTTAAGGTATATTGATTACAAAACTTACTGAATTCAACTTGAATACAAAAGGTTCCTAAAGTTACCAAACAAATCGTGCATACCTATGAGCTACGTGACCCAGGCCTGTTCACCCAGAAGCGAAGTTAGTACAGATTTTACTGTCGCTTCCTTTCATTTTTATCCGAACTTCAGTGAAATATTCGTCAGATAAGTTTTCAGGCGTTGATAAATACATAGTTGGCAGTCTGGAATAATTACATATGATGCTAACTACTATTCTAACTTACCAATGCGCAAATACCACACTTATACTTACATTCATTCATAGCTTAGGGCGTCAGTGATTCACTGGTTTAATACCCAACAACCACGCACATGGTTAAGGTTATATTCTCAGCCGACTCATTCCTGAAGCTCACCTAGTTTAATGGACGGTAGTAAGCCAGGAAAAGAGATAGTACAGCGTGAGGCTGGCAACCTTGCACTGTAAAAACAACACCACTGCTACTGAATCATCAAAAACACTTTATATCCCATGTTGCACGTGGAACGTGAGGAGTAAAAGATGATTTACTATTGTGTACACATATATAGTGTGTCGTTTCAAGATACTCATATCCAAATGAACTGCTACCTAAAAATATATTCAGGCAAGAAGAAGTAGTAGTAGTATCACAACCAAATAAATTATTACGACTTTGTTTAAACATAGAAGTTAAGTTATCAGGTGCATCAACTGGCTTGCTTAAGGAGGTATGTTAGACTAAACACCCTATCTACCTGAAATTAAGTCACATTGGTTTTCACTCCTAGGTTTACGGAAACAACTAGAACGTTATCCTTTGTCACTTGCTTCGCGGTTAACAAAGCATGATTTACTTCGAATCTCAAATATGTTACACTACCCCACATGTATCATTAATTTCGTATTTTGAAATCTAAGATCCATCGATAACATCTGAAAGAGACTTGATAACTCTTTGGGAATATTCAAGTCAGTATTTTTCTTTTTACAGTTTGGTTGGACAAATATCTTTACAAAACCATTCAGTTTTCTGTGCTACTAAATATGACACTAATTATATCATATTTATTGGTGACTTTTAACAATAATAATCATAGCAACAATAGTGATTTACTGATTGCCCGTCTATTTCTAGAGAACCCGTGGGAAAATATCATATTCAGATCTGTACTACTACCCCGTGCATGTTGGGCGGTGCAGGCTCAGATGTTATTTTGGATGCCCTGAAGAAAAATCTCGGTATGTCACTGCTTTAGACTGTTTTCCATGTTGTGTTAACCGTATTGGTTATTTATTTTGTTTCTACTACTAACATATGTTGATCATTTTTATTGCATTAGCTTTCCAGGTCATTCGGAGGATTCTTTCTTCCTAACCTCAGAACTAGTTTAGTGGAGCTGTGACTCATTTTTCTATGTAGGTGGTCAACTTGAAAACCATTGGGTAGCAAGTTCGGGCCCCGACCCCATTTACCAAGGTCTGGATGGTCAGGTAGTATGACTAGTCCTCACAAATAATAGGTGTGGCTTATTACCAACTGCTTGGAATTCGAAGCGTAATATTTAACTTATTATTTTTACCGTTAGTAACTCTAAATTTTATTAGATGTTTTGAGCAGCACTTTTAAAGACTTAGAATCGATGTGATGCCCCCTCCCATGGTGTGTGATATTCTTCTATTGAAGCTTTGTACCTGAAATCTAAGGTGTCCATCGAATGGTCTCAAAACTCAAGCAAAAATCACATCTTGTAGTTTTATATTAATTGTAACTATATTTTCATGATAATAATGATTGGTCTCTGAGAAATAATTTTTATACCATTAGATTCAACTGTGAAACATCTCACGATCAAAATGAAGTGACAAAAATGTCATAGTAGTAATTACTTTATTGCAAACAATAATTCTTATACGGAATGGAATTTTCAGCTATATACGTACTGCAACAGTCTGTCACGTTTTACAGAAAAATAAACGAAATAGTAAAAATAATAAGAATCCAGCCATTGAACTTAGTAGAAGAAGAATGTATGTGTAATAATAATGCTACCTTTGTGTGCTATTTGGAACGTGGCAACTCGAACTGCTGCACTTCGGTGCCAAGTTCTATGTTGAATCCAGCAGCAGCAGCAGTAATAATAATGCTAGTAATAAGTTTCTGTTTATGTACAGATTATAGATAGTAGGTTTGTAAGCTCTTCACTGACATCTGTGTCTTCACACAAAGCCCGTGCTAAATATGGTATAGTTGAATTCTTATATTTGACCGCATGAATTTGAATTCCTATGAAATTTCTTCTGGTTTCGCTCTAAAAGATACAAAGAGAAAGTTGCGAATAAAGAGGATATTCAGTAGCCGACAAGATGAATTGAAGCAATTGCTTGCAAGAATTAAAGTGCCTATTAACAACAATGTCAATTAGTTGGTTAGTTAGTTGGGTCAAAGACACACTATTCTGGCTACTGAGATCTGGAGTTGTTTTTTTTAAAATCTCTACAATAAGAAAGCTTCTTAATCTGTATTACAAGGATGAGATATTCTAGGTGTGTTCTGCTTCTACTCCCCTCCCCCCTTATAGGTATTGAACCAGGTCAAACAACAAAAGATAAAATGTTCACTCTGTCAGAAGTTGAATGTCTTGGAGCTTGTGTTAACGCACCAATGATGCAGATCAATGATGACTACTATGTAAGTTTTTGAACAGTTGATTTGATTCCATAAAGCCAGCCTATTAATATTAAAATTGACAAGGGACAACCCGAATCTTTGCTTGTTTTAAAAAGGCTACAACTCACTTAGTGATGTGATATGAATATAGAAATGTATGAAATAAGTATTCTGGTAAGCTTTGTTTAAAGATAAGTTCAGGTTTCAAGCAAAACGGTAAGATGAGAAGAGGTCGAACTCGTGGCCCACTAGTTAGAGGTAGAGATCCCAGACTAATGAGCCGCAGCCCCACTGTTGATAAAAAAGCATTGGGTTTTATTCACCGAAGAATTCTCACTCACAGCATATATATATATATATATATGGCACCAGTCAGCAATGTGTATATGCAATACGTAAGGAAACTGATGTCCACCTTTGAGATTTTAACATACACCTCCCAGCATAATGCCGTCACAGAAATGCTACTACTGAGTGGTTCAGGCCCACGATTTATCTCCCATATCCCTATAATGGATACAGTGATTGGCCACTAAGGAGTAACCAGTGTCATTTTTGTTTAGTCAGCAAGGTTTTTGTTATCAGACATAAGATGACAGGCCCAATGTGAGAATATATCCGCAAGAGGTAATATGCTCGAATTATTTGTAAGACACGTTTTAAAGATCGTCCAATATTCTCATTTTACTTTTTCAATAGGAGGATTTAACAGTTGAAGATACAGTTCGTATTCTCGAAGAACTAAAAGCTGGAAAAAAGCCAAAACCTGGACCACAGTAAGTTTTTCTGCTTTCTTTTGTCCTCATTGAATATACTTCTTTCCAAGAAATCTCTTTTCGTTCCACTGATCTTAAGAGCTTGATTATTGAATTATTGTAGATGAACTTCGTTTCCAGAATTCAGACATCAACAGATTAAGTGTATGGGGAAAAAACGAGTAATTCTGTGAATTGGATCTTTTTGGTGAATTTAGTTGTACAATAATCAGATTTATATACCATTTGTTTTCACAAAAGAGGATAATAACAAAAGTTATGAATTGTCATAATCATACTTGCTAATATTTATCAATACATAAAGTAAGTTGAGTAAGACTGTTAAAGTTACGTATTGAGATAAATAATCTAATAAATGAGTTGTAATAAGGGGGTACACATACGAATAAAGGAAATGCAGTGTAACTGTGAACACATAAGTCAAAGAAGAGATTCCTTGAAAGTTCTTGGCTTTTATTTGCTATGACGACCGACAACAAAGGTCACAGGTTATTATCTCATTACTGTTAGCATTTAACGAATTAATTTTCGTAATAAAAGTGAATGTTTTGCTATGATATCAGCTTACAATCAGATAACTCACTGAGGTGGAAGCAGTCTTTCGATTAAGGACCAGTAAAAATACATTTTGGTGAACTAGAATTAGCAAAGCAAACCCAACAAAAGAGCATCTTCTAACATACTCATATTTACATCTTCATAAAAGTTGGTATATTCAATTTGTGTACTGATAAACGGGAACTCAATAACCTGTAATCATTTGGTTAACAGGCTATAGATTTTCATCGACAGTTGCACCCCACTTCTCTCGATACTGAGGGTCGGATGGCCGGCTGCAAATGATAAGCAAGAAAGAACTTTGGCGATGAGTTCACAAAAGTATGCAGAAGAAAGTGTGAATGGATCGAACATACTGTAAGAAGACCGCCAATTGAAATCACGCGCCAGATCCTAGATTGGAATCCCAAGAAGTAACGATAAGTTGGTTCGATGGTGATACGGAGGAGATCATATGAGGAAGAAGTGTAGGCTTACGGGTAATCAAGGAGACAGCAAGAAAACTGCAGAGAATAGAATGAAATATTGTTGTGCCCAATGTTCCACGAAGAACCCAAAGGATGAATCAATAATGATAGCATAAATCATTTGGTGTTCATATCATGTCCATGTTAAGTAAACCTACTTTAGCCTAGACTACTGGTTTGTATCACCACTTCTCATAAGGTAATAAGGGCGGTTCTTAGCCTCGTACATGAAACATTTGTTCTAGGATAAGTTAAATAAACTTAATTTTCACATACTGAACCAAAGAATGTAATAAAATAGTGTTTATCCCTTTTACGCATGAAAGCCAAATACATTTCTATTTGGAAGCCAATAATAATACGGCCTAATAATATAATACAGGCGGAACGGATGAAGATATCAAAGACAGAATTGAAAAGGCAAGATACGCCTTCATCAACCTGAAACCACTTTGTAAATCTGTGCTCAGCATCAAGAACAAGATTCACATTTTCAACACCAATGTCAAGTCGGTCCTTCTATACGGGTCAGAAACTTGGCCTGCCTGTCACAAAAAGGATTTCCAACAAGTTACAAACATTTATCAACAGCTGCCTTCGAATTAGCAACAAGAAACTCTGCAGTGGAACACACCAACCAATAGCCGATTGCTCAACAAATATGTAGGGAAAAAATGAAGATGGATCGGGTGCACGTCGTCGGATGACACCACACCGTCAGGTCTTCTAGTGGAGTCGAAATGGGAAGTGATGAGTGGGTCAATCGAGGGTGACATCAAGGAGGTCGTGCAATGCGAGGAGATGAGAAATTATGGGCAATCGTGGATCCAATTGAAGAAGACAGCACCAAATAGAACAAAGTGGAGATGTGTTGTTGAAGCCCTGTGTTTGACTTGAACCCAAGGGAATAATAATACGAGCTTAATTTTCTATTACAATATCTTTTTCACTTTTTTGTTTAAATTTTAGAAGTGGACAAGGTGGACGTTTTGCATCAGAACCAAAAGGTGGTTTAACCTCACTGACAACAGATCCTAAAGGTCCTGGATTCAAAGTTCGTTCGGATTTATAACAGCTCAACTTTAGTCAATATTTTCCCTTGAATGTACCAATACAGACACATACACATATATACTATAAAGCGTACTTAGTGAAGTGTCTTTTTGTTCTCATTTAATAATAAACCTATTTGATTCCTATTTTCTTGATTTAAGCAAAAACTCAGACTTGTACACTCTCATTAGCCTATTTGTACGTAATGACAAAGACGTGAAATAGTACATTTTAAAATTCGATGTTCGTTTTGGTGTGAAACTATGTAAGGAATAAATGTTATCTCAGATTCTCTGCTAATCTCATTATAAAACGATACGTACACTTTGAGTTGTATAGATCCAGTTGTTAGATTGCAAGCAAGAAGTCGTGACAGCTGGATCTCGGCACCTGAGTGAGTACATCATTGTAAATTATAATCAGCGCTTATCACTTGACTTTGTGATATCGTCAGCGAAGCTAGTTAACAATTTCTGTTAAGAAATTTAAAGACATTTATGTATCAAGTTCAGTTTGTGGATATTGAATACCGATGTTGTTAATAAATGCTCGTTTGATTCTATCCTCGAATATTTTTGGCTTAAAATAAACCTGTATTTTAAATACATAAAAGAAGGATAAGCCGAATAACTAAACTCAAGAAATGCAGATACTATTTATAAATGTCGTCTATAGTTCATTTTTAGAGTTTCAAAGGGACGCATAAGTCAGCAAAGGGATCTCTTTTCGTAAATTTACTTCAAAACTGTGCTGTTATTTAGTTAGGCGTTTATTCATACAACGCTAATAGACGACAGAGATTTACCTATGGACACTTATCAGCATGGTTTTCAAGTGTTTTGTCCAGCCTCGCGTCAATTTTATTTTCCTGAATTTTTCCATAATAAACTCAATATAGTGCTATTTTTTAAAATTTTTGTAACCCATTTTCAAATGTTTGTTTGCTCGTTTCTTATCAGTTATTTCAAAATGATTATTTATCACAGCTGATTGGTTATCAACCCTCACACTTTGTTATGTCATAATGGCGAGAACTCCGATTTAGACATTAAGAGGACAAAAGGATAGAGGAAAGAAATACTTACTTTTCAATTAGATCCTCATCTATGGCTCTACTCTAGTATCTGTAACTGTTATAACTGCACGAAACTGAATAAACCCGTCGCCAATTTATATCTGTGCCTTCTAATTGTTATAACGGTAATGAACTCGACTGGTACACTAATATGCCTATTCGTCCGTTGTACCTTCTGATTTACTGAGCCAGGCAAATATATAAAGAGAAAGGATGGCCTGTAACTGTAAGATATTGTATATTTTAGGGACAACACATCGTATTGATACATTTTATTTACCATAATACAGTTTGTTCATAGCAGTGGGAATGGGTTGTTCTTATTGGCTGGTAATAGTTACATTGGAAGAACAGAAAGAAGGGCATACCTACGATTTTCTAAACATGTACCAATAAGCCTATGTCTAGAGGGAACAAATGCCCTATTTATATGATGGAAATTCTGCATTGTGGTAGAGTATAATTCCATTATGAGTAGAATTTATTTTGATAAAGTCTCACAGTGTTATACAGCAATATTTACTGATGACGTTTCGAGCACAATTTATTGCTCATAATCATATGAAGTCACTCACACAACTTTCTGGCTTCGTTTATATAATTCCATTATTTTTCATCGCTTGACTTGATTGGTAGTAGTACTTTCCATACTTCCGGTATGAGTGATGAGTCATTCCTATTACACGTGTTGGGTGTAGAATCGATGATCCAGGGTTCAGTAATCAACCTCTCTCTCCACCTACCTATATTACTTCTTAGAATTTTAACCCTCCCCCACCATATTGTGTGGTTGTGTCTTAATGCTTGCAGTGCAATCGCTGAGCTTTTTGTAAATTACTTTTCTTCGCGGGGTCAACCATTCTTACCTTAGCCACTAAATTCTTATGTTCCGACAATCTGACTACCCCCGACCTACTAGTTTGACGTATGTATTTAACCTACCTCACAGTCATTAGAAGGTATTTTGTTTTGTTTTTTGGTATTCCTTCACGTTTCCAGTGGAACATAGGGCTTCAAGCTTGAAGTTTATGTAGCAGTGTTTGTTTTTACAGGATGGGGTTGCTAGCCTCATGCCCAACCTTTCCTCTTTACCACCTTTATTTCTGGCTTAGCGAGGTAAAGGAGTTCATCGGCAGGGATTCGAACCCCGGACCATGTACATGGTCGGCGAGCGTCCTAACCGCTGTGCCACCGACGCAAGGTATTTTGTAAATTATATTATTTTGCTTAGTTGGGTCCACCGGGTCTTTTAGCCTATAGAGCTTGTCTCTGAGTGAGTTTGTAGGTCTGAATGCCACCCTAAGCCCTGCTTTATTAAGAATCCTATGTGGGGTCTCAGATGTCCCCTCCTCATATGGTGAAACTGTAGACGACGTATATTCTCTCATTTATGTTATCATTATTAGTTTCACAATTATTTTTGTTTTGCTTTTGGCCTTTACTGATCTTCCTAATGAATTTTATAGGATAGTTATTTACCACCAACGCCTCTTCTGTCTGTTTCATTTCATCGTTTAGGTCTTTTTTGTGGTATTGCTCGGTCTGTTAGACACTTAACTAAGCCAGCCTTTAGAGACAACGGATGAGATCAACTAGTCTAAATATCTATTAGAATGCGTTGGCTTTTTATAAACTCTAGTGTGCAGTTTGCCTTCTTCTGTTCGTTTTATTTTACAATCTAACATAGCTAATTTTCCTTGTTCATCTTCCGATTCAAATGTGAATTTTATTCCCTCCACTAGTGAGTTTATGTGTATCAAGAAGCTAGAGACATGTTCTGTTTTTAACACTGTGAAAGTGTCATCCACATATCTCCACCATATTTTTGGAGTAGGACTAAATGTATTTAGAGCAATATTTTCCCAACTGTCCATAAATATGTCTGCTACTATAGGGGATATTGGTGATCTCATTGCTACGCCTTCTGTTTGTCTATAGATTTTGCCTTGGAATTTAAAGATGGTAGATATGAGGCATAACTAAATTAGTAAAATAATCTCCTCAATGGGCAACTTTGTCCTATGAGCAAGTTCAAAATCTGCAGTTAGTTCTTTTTTAATTGCTTTTAAGGCAATATTGATTGGTATATGAATAAAGAGAGACTAGTTATATCAAAACTAACAATTTTTTCATTATTCTCTAGTTAAATGTCACTTAGTTTATTTTTCATCTCATATGAATTAGTTAGTCTAGAGTTTGAACGATTTCTAATGGGGCATACTATTAGAGCTAAATGTTTTGATAATTCATAAGTAGGGGTATTCCTGAAATCTACTACTGGTCATATGGGGTAAACTGGTTTAAGTACTTTAATAGTACCATATATTCTACTAGCGTTATTAGTTTCAGGCATCAAATTAAACCATTTAGATCCACCAAGTGATGGCTTCATTCAACGTATTAAATCCGCTGTAGGCTTTCTTTGCCTCATTCTTCATTGTATCTACAGGCTTCTTACTTTCCATATATGGACCCGTCTCAATATATTCAATGACTTTCTTGATATAGTCAGATTTATCCAAAACTACTGTAGAGTTCCCTTTATCAGCTTTTGTGACGACGATGTTGTCGTCCTGTTTTAGACTAATTAGAGCTAGTATTTCCAATTTCGTTAAGTTTGATTTCGCTTTCTTTTGATTTTTCAGGGTCAACGCACATTGTGCTCAAACCTCTTCTGCTGTTGTCATATTTATTGAACTTAGTGCTACTTCTATGTTAGGAATGATATCCTCTGGTTTTAATTTACCGACTGCTACGTCCTTTTTCAAGTACTTTTATCTCACTAGAGCTTATTTCTCTTGATGAGAGATTGATCACCCATTTTGTTGCCGTCAAATTTCTCATTTATTGTGTTGTTTACTTCTATTAATTTGTTGAATTTTTTAATTTGTGTGGTTTTTGATTTTCCTAATGCTGATTCTCTAGCTTTTTTGGATGTTCCAACAACAATTTCATAATCTTTGTCATTAACCATACATTTGTGTTTGAGTGTTTCAATTTCACTTCGTAAATTGTTTAGTTTCACAATAATTCGATGTAGTCCTTCTCTTAGACATAATCTGCTGACATGTTCGGCTGCTGATGTTGTTTTTCTTGAAGTAGTTGGAGTACGTAGACGTAAATATTTGGGAATTATATGATTTTTTAAACATCAACTGTTTAAAATCCGATGGATTGTGAATATTGCTTCTTTTTGACAAAGTTGTGTGAGTTTGAACATAAGCTTCCTAGTGGAAGACCATATGTATCATTGATATAAGAATAGAAATTGTGCACTGTGGTAGAGTATAATTCCATTATGAGTAAAATTTATTTTGATAAAGTCTCACAGTTTGATACAGCAATATTTACTGATGACGTTTCGAGCACCATTTATTGCTCATAATCATATCAAGCCCCCTCCCTCCGTTACAATTTAATTACTTATTACTGTTTCGAAACACTCTGATGATGTAAAACACTCAAAACTAGCTTTTGTTCTGGGGCTACGTTTGACAAACTGAATGTACACACACATGCAAGAATAGCATTACGTGGTAAATGTAAATTGTAAAAAAAGATAAGTTATAAAAAGTATGTTGTAAAACGTTCAATTTTCTTATTTTACATAAATGCAATGGAAAGATACAAGATTGATAATAATTATTTTAACTAATGAAATAACACTGTTTTGTATATTTACCAAAATAGAGACTTTTCAAGGAAATCTGATAACCACTCTAATGGTCCTTTAGATTCTGATTCACCTGGATTGTTGTTACGTAATTTAGGTGCTGCTCTTGTTTCATCAACTTCAAAAAGATCAGCATCATCTTCTAGGTATGGTGGCATTTCGGTATTTAGCAGATTTTGTTTATACTTTACACCATTGAATGAACTATGTCTGCACAGTGAATGTCTAGATGAGAAACACAAATAAATGCATATGAGATCACTATAAAATTGTATAATCATGTGACGAAATGTATAAAAATAAGTAGTGCAAGAACTTTTGCCTTGAACACCGTATATGGACATTAATTACGGGTCAGTTACCTTGGACATATTTCTGTTGTACCAGCATATGAGCCACATGCCATTAGCTAATGATACTACCTAGTTATCGGGCTGAAGTAGGCTACGTAAGATTAAAACTCAAGACCCATTGGTTGAAAGTCGAATGCTTAGGTTAATGATTTAAAAGAAAAGAAGCAAATCTTTCTCCGGCGAACATAAAGATATCAGCAGTAATTCCGTAAATTGGGTAGTTATTTTGTCTTCTGAATAATATGAAAAATCTGCCACATAGGGAACAAATCTTATGAATTAAGATGGTGTCATAAAGGCCTTCCAAACACATTGTGGGAATTTTTTTAAAATGTAGATGAAGGCATCACCGATAGAAGCTTTACAATCTATATGTCACACAAGTAGAAATGTGGCTCAGCATTAGGTCGCGGATTCGAGTTTCACTTAACCTACTTCAGCCAAAGTAGTATCATCAACCCCCAAACGATAAGTGTAGCTGTTAATCTGGTACATGAAAAAGCAGTATAGGGTAACTTAATTCTGGGGGAAATGTCGAGTGATGGTAGGTATTACTAAAAGCTGTCGAATAGATCTCGTTATCGCATATTTACCTTTAATAAGCTCAATTTCAGAGAATTATGGAATCCAAGGTCTTAAGGAGTCTTGGTTATGCGTATACTGACGAAAGCAGCAGTTGTTATTAGGGATATTTTGGAGGGAATTACTTTTCATTGATAATCAAGTTTAAATTTCGAGTTATTATCAAACATAAAACGAATGCATCAGAGACGCATCTGTTGAAATTCATGACATAAGTTTACACTGAATTCTGTACCCGATCGTCAGATATAAAATTGGAGCGAATATTTAAAGACTGTAACTATGCTTGAATGCAAGCCATGAACAATGTAATCGAATAAATTGCTATCAGTACTATTGAGCTTTTTACCAGTTCCTTAACCTAGATAATCAGGCACTGCAATTCACAGTGCTTTTGTAATGACTGAGATATAATGCATTGTAGTTTAATTATTGGACTTACAACAGCCCTATACAAAATAATTTTATTTGATCGGGTCATAGTAACTCTTGGTACGAAAAACACGTTACGTAATTAAATAGACTCGAATGATCTTTTCTCATATAGGGTGCATATGTAAAATTACTAACAAAAGAAAAAATTTCACTTACACTCTACGTTTTTTCTTCACAATCTGAGCTGTGATAGTAGGATGTGTTGAGTCTGTTTTACAGACATCATCAGACTGACCTGAATAATTCGCCGAGGATACCGCACGAACAAGACATTCAGGATCTAACGAAGGTATGGTACAAACGAGGACACGATGTTTATGTAGCTGAAATGTAATACTGACTACACCACGAACCTTCAACAGCTTTGAGCATACAATTTCTACGTCATCCTAATTTGTAAAAAATTAAACGTAATTAAAGACCAGGAAAAATAATACAACATATATCAAAGAAAATGTTTGAAAAACATGACAAAGTACTAGCATATAAAAGGCAGTCATTTTGAAAGGTATTTTAAGGGTACAAATTTGATATTTAAAAATTTTTAAAAATATTAGAAATTACTTCCTATTTGCACTACAAACGACAAAACTCGATACGTGCAAGAAATATTAATTGCTTTAAGCTCATCTCCTGTATCGGTCTTCAAAGAAGATAGTACACACCTTCCCCCTTCCCAAAGTTGACAAAAACAATGCTGAACACTAGATCGGCACACTACGGATTTGTTTTATTTAGTCCTCTTCAGCTTTTCAAAACCCATTTTCATTGCACTATATCATAGGAAAATTGTTAACAGACTTTAATTTAACAGAACTCAGTCGATAAGCATAGAAGGGCAAAAAATTACCACAGTAAAGACGAAAGCTTAGTCAACTGTTCAACCTGAGGTTATGTAATAACTAGGGGCGGTAACATGGATATCATAAAGAAACAGTTGTAAGTAATCAACTTTATAGTATTCAGGAAACCAAACTTAATAAAATGTACTGAAAAGATTGAAACCGGAGTTAAGCGTCATGTTCATAAGAATTAAAACTACCACAGCTCAAAAAATGAGTTTTTGATGAAGTAAGACTTATCACTATATATTTGTAGCAAAAAAACACTACAAACGTACTTTGCGGCAACTGTGAATCGTAGCGAAAGTGACTGAACTGTCCAACCTACTAGAAGGCAAACTGTAAATTCCAAAACAAATCCCGGAATCATGTAAAAGAAGTTATTTGGATTCATCAGTAAATATAACAGTATTGTGACTCGTTTTCACCTTTTAACAAATGGGTTGCAAATTTAAACTTCATTTCATTTACTCTGGCCTGAGCGACTGAATACTGCTTTAAACCCTTCCACCTCAAGTGTTTCAAAACTGAGCGCATGAAGAAAACGCGTGTAAATTGACCGCGCTACACAATCACTTAGTAGTGTTTCGACAGATTTATCGGAGTTTCGATAGGTTTGGAAGTAGTTAGAAACTACGATTTGCTTGCAAATACTACCTTGCCATCGAATACATCACAAATGCAAATGCATCACAGGAAAAACTGTAGATATAGATATCACAAACTGCACTTGAAAAACTCACTACTCAATACAGAAAGTTATTCGCATATTTACAGTGTTAACACTTCTGGCTACTAGGTTCCTCATCTATACATGTAAACTAAGGTCTACAAAGATGGACACTCACAACATACATCAAACAGTCAAATTTGGAAATATTCATCCCCAGAAACGATTGTTAAATGTATATTGTAGAAGTATATAAATGCGCTATAAAATCACGAAGCACAAGTGCCGTTAAATTATACCACAGAAAAGCAGTAATGGGAATTTCCCCGAATTAGATTACCTCGCTTGTTAATCCTTTGAGTTGTAGGACTACGTTTTTAGGTCTAAGACCTGACTGAGACTTCTCCAGATTACATTTGGCAGCACGAGTTTGGGAGGTTTCTGTGCCGTGACGACTGATTATAGACAAGAGTTCTTTAGCATCTGCGACGACAGACTTAAATCCTTCACTATCACTGCAGGCTGTTGGCTTAGCCAGCCCCTTTAACTGTTCATTTAATCCAACCAAGCTATGTAGAACATCTTTCCCTCCAGGTCGATTAACCAATAATCGTAATACCTAAGGCTGAAAATTAATTGTGCAAATTTTACTTGTAATGCTAGTGAGACAACGGATGCCTTCTTGTTCGACAGAAGCAGCACAAGACCTTGAAGAGTGGTTACATCCTAAAAATGAAGGCTGGTAATTTTGCGTAAAAACTACCTGTAGCAGTATACAATACTTCGAATCATCTTCCGCTAGCTTTATTAATTCTTCTAAAGTCTCTAGACCACACATTAAATGTGGATTCCCGTTTGACCTGTTCAATGACCGTGGACTCAAGTTGTTGCAGTGCTGTAACCTTGTGACTAGGTCATACTTTGAAGCAGTTGAAACTCCATTACTTCAATATTCAAATTCTGCTCTTGCGCTCCAGAAAATAGAATTTCGAAGTATATTTTACTCTCTTTATAGAATATGTCTAAGATCCTGATTAATGTAATAAGTGACAATGAGCTAGAATACTATGCCACTCGCAACAATAAGTAAAATTCATCATCCAATATCCAATATGCAATATCCTGATTACAAGCTAGTATAAACCAGTGATTTCTTTGAGCTCGCTTCTTGATTGTAAGGTAGAGGTTCCAGATCTTCGGTGAACTTATGCGTAGTAAATCCCGCCACTCGACTGCTTTAGCTCTGGTAGACTCCAAGAGGAGTGGTGCGAGGATTGGTCAAGATTGTGGTTTGTAGTGTGCAGTATGTTAGGACTCAGCTGCTGCCGTGAATGGAGTTTGACCTAACACCCGTTGGTCATTCGGTGTAGTCATAAAAGTAGAATAGTAATAATAATAGGTTGTAGTGTAGATAATATAGGTTGAGATAAGTGAAATAATAAAGGTGACCAAAGAAAAGATAGAGTAGTCGGTACAGTGAGAGAAGACAGAATGGGTCGTGGGATTTAGCTTGTATGCTTATCCATTGACAATATGGTTTCAAATTTTAAGAGGATAAGCCATTGAGACACAAACCTTGCATTTCTGCATAATTGTCCAGCTTCCGCTTAAAAGTCTCCACAGATGGTGCTGTAGTCACGGCCGCCGGTAAAGCGTTCCAGAGACAGCAAACTCGAAGCGAGAAGAAATGTGAACGCACTCGAGTCTTTGGTCTCTGGTGTGCTATCCTTAGCGGGTTACCTCGTGGAAGCCTATAATCACTTAGTGGCAGGATGCTTTTATTAGGATGGGCCCGGTCATTTAAGATCTTATAGACGGTGATGAGGTCTCCCCTGTGACTACGGTAACTAAGTGTGAAAAGACCTAATTTCTTCAGTCTTTCCTCATATGATTTGTTGCGGAGGCCGATCACCCATTTTGTCGCTCGTCTCTGGACACTTTCTAGAATGTTAGCATCCCTATTGAGTAGCGGAGGAGCAATGATATTATGCACCTCAAGGAGTGGCCTCACGTATGTCGTATACAACGTTAGGAATAGTTCGGGAGTAAGAGCTCCCAGCTGTCTATGCATAAAGTGTAAAGTTGCGTAAACTTTGGCGACGTCCCTCGTGTAATTTACACTGGTGTCTAGCTTTTCTGTTAAAATAAGACCTAGATCGCGTTCTGGTGGTACACAACCCAAGTTCTGGCCACCAAGGGTGCAATTTACACTCTGTGACCTACCGGAATGAAGTTGCACTACTTTGCACCTCTTTAGGTTGAAAGGCATTCCGTTAGCCAGAGCCCAGTCTCCCAGCGTTTGCAGGTCAGCCTGCAATCTGTCGGAGTCTCCCGATGAGTTTATTGCTCTCCAAATCTTTACGTCGTCAGCGTAAAGAAGCGCAGGGCAATTCAGTTGACAGGGCAGGTCGTTGATAAAAATCAAAAACATCAACGGCGCTAAGATAGAACCCTGAGGAACCCCTGATGCCGAGGTGTGCCAGGATGATCGGATGCGGTTGACTTTGGTGCAGAATTCTCTCTCGCCTAAATAATCTTCTAGCCATGCGAGAAGTGCTCCAGAAACACCCGCTTTGCTTATTTTGTGAAGGAGCAGACCATGGTGAACTGTGTCGAATGCTTTCGCAAAGTCGAGAAAGATCACATGGACTGGTACCTTTACAACCCAGGATAGTGTCCAATCGTTCCAAGCTAGTAGAAGATTCGTCACACAGGATCTTCCCCTCCTGAAACCGTGCTGTGCTTCATGGAGTAGGTTAGTCCCGTCTAAGTATTTTCTCATGTGGTCGTCAATGAGACTTTCCAATATCTTCGATATCACTGGGAGTAGCGCAACTGGTCTGTAACTGGTCGCGTTCTGCCGGCCACCACCCTTGAAGATAGGGGATAGGATGGCTCGTTTCCATTCACATGGAAGTTTCCCTACATCAAAGGAGTGTTGAAACAGATCACTTAGGGGTTGGCAGAGACTTTCTGAACACTGCTTCAGGACGGATGGTCTTATGTCATCGCAACCTGCTGACTTTACCGAAGCCAATTTTCCCAATTTTACGAGTACCGTAGCCGGGGTAATTTGAAATGTACCCAGCAGGTTTTCGCACGTTGGTCTTGCATTGTAATCTTGATGTTTTGTGGGGGTAAAATCCTCATTACTGTTCAGTTGCCTGTGAAAGGCTAGACTGAATGTCTCTGCCATTTCAAGACTAGTAAGAGATTTCCCATCAGAACCCACTAGATTGCAAGCTCCCTGGATGGTCGGTTTTCTCTCAGACATAAACCTGTATAGGCTTTTGGGGTTCACCAGAAGCTTACTGGCGAGGTTTCTAAACATGGTCCCCTCCCGTATGGTACTCATAAAGTGAGTAATTAAAATCTGGTAATAATATAAAAACTGCTGCCTGATGATGCTTTCAATCACGTCCAACCTCTAGAAGTTGTGCTAGCCTCCAGTGAGTGATATTGGTGTAAGTCAGTTCACGTAACCTCAGTTGATTTGAACCTTTCGATGTATATGACTGGTATTATGGGAACACAAACACATATAGAATGAAGAGGCTTTACTTCACGTAAGACACAAAAGTAAAAAGAATATTCTGAAACTTTCCTGATATTCAGATGTCAGAAACGAATGCTTCACGAACTAGCTTTGCACCCTCCGCTGTAAAATATGAACCTAGAGTTTAAATAAATCGGCCCAGATGAACCAACTGGGTATCAACCATATATGATTCTAGCTTGCGTGTGGTTGTTTTGGATGTTTCAATTTCTGTGTTAACGATTACACATACTACCATGCTCGGATGATATTTTCACGTCTCCATTGTGGTCACAACTCAAACACACTCGAAGTTTGTAAAAATAATAAAAATTTTCATATAAACATAAATTTACATGAAAATGCATGTCCCGTCATACTTTCGGAAAGAGTCCTCCAAATTTTTCTCCTGATCAATCCTAATGTCTACTCCGTTAAAATTTATTGCGTTTCAGAGTACATTTCAAGATAATGGAGTTTTATTCTTATTTTGATATCAGGGCATGCCGGTTACGTAAACCCTGACTTGGAGGGTAAATGGAAATAGTGCATTTCAAATCTTTAAATATTACCATTTTTACATAAGAACAAGACATATAAGCGAACAATAATGTTTTCAATTAGATCTTCTTCAGGCTTTACTCTAATTTACGTAGATTTATATATAAGTTTTAACCAATGACGGCGATTTTGTGGAACAAATAATAACAGTGTGGTAAATGTTTTGAACGTAGTTAATAACGATGGTTATATTGATAACAAAATATTGACAATAAGTTTTATGCAGGTGGCAATAAGAATAACAATAAGATTCTTATTGGACGTCACAATCTCTCTCCATATCGTGGATATATTTTTACTGATTCCTGGAATATTGTAGTGGATACTATACCACTCCTCAACTTTAACTTATATTGGCTGCTACCTCAGCTTCCAATTATCCAGGTACATCACCGCCGATTATCAAATTTGGATCCTCTCTTTCGCAGGGCTCATCCTCCTTTTTGCAATTTAAGAACAACTTCACGCAAAAGGAAACCATAGAGAAGCTCATTATTTTGTGGTTTATAAATTAGGATCAATTTGCAGGAGAATTGGTTTCTATATAGTCTGTATTTCACGGTTTAATACTTTTGTCTATTTATTGTTTATTTATAAGCAATAAAATTCCATACCATGCCCATATTAGTTCTTATTCTGTATATCCACTCGACATACCATTTGTGCATATACCTGTTTTCGTTACAGCTCAGCTTCTACTTGAAACCATACTAATCTGTGTTCAACAATGATACAACGTAATAAACGGGGACTTTTCATACGTAAGAATAGCTTAGGTCACTCAGCGAAGAAGATACATACATCATGTAGCCTCAACAACGTCCCCGAAGTCATTGTGCCTGATTTGTTATCAGAGGTATATGCAACTGCTAAACAAAACAAGTTGAACCTTATTTCTCTTGGAAACTCTGTGAAGGAATTAAATGAGAATACAAACACCATTAAGACGTTACTGCTTCTTTGTAACCCAACTCATTATACTAATCCGGAAAGTCTGCTGAAGTCTGAGCGTATGTTGAACTTTATGGCCATTGAAATGACTAAACGAATCATGTCTTCGTACAACGTTCTCGCTTACAACCTGCCTGATCGGACGCCTCTGGACAAAGTTAAATTGACATGTCTCCAAGCGTGTGGCATGCCACCAGCGAATTGCCATCTAATCAGACTCAGGAAAAAATCAGGAAAGTATACTTGTCCTGTACTGTTTAAATTCAGTAGTCCTAATGATGTTAGGAAATTCCAGTCGTCTAACAAGTTGATTAATTCATTTACACCTTATCGTAACGTTAAACTTGCTCATGATCTAGCACCATATCAAAGACGTAGCCATGCAAGTGTATCAAGTATCGCAAATACCTACCTAACCGCACAACTTCCTACAAAAGATTCTATCGCCTTAAATTTAAGTAAACCTAATAATACAGACCCGCATGAAAATAAAATACCCTTAAATAATAGAGCTTTTCCTAGTAAACCCAACAGTGAAGCAACTATGGTCATAGACTTAGATGCATCTTTAGAGTTACGCTCTCTAGGCACATCACCATCAGCTGCTAATACCACTACCAGTGTTACGCAAAAAGGCTAAGCTCGAGAATGTAGCATTAAATATTACCTCCTCGAGTAGCACTAAGACTAGTGAGCATACAAAACGAAGTAACATAACCCTGCGATCCAGAATACCTGCACTCAAACCCGTCACTGATATGTTTCTCAGCAGCTAACCAAATAACACTAACTTAAGCGACTCCAATCCTACCATTAACCCGGGGAAGCTGAATAAGTCTTCATACCACCATAAATATAACGTCAATGAAAAGAGAGGTAACCCGCCAATTAATCCAACATCGAACAAATCTTCATCCGATAG